TGCTACTTTTCCCATTTCTATAAATAAAAAATAACTCCTACCTAAGGGGTATGTCATTATCTCCCCACTCTACCCCCACCTCTGGTAACTAATGAACATTAGTTTCTGTGTATTTACCTATTCATGTCATTCCATAAACATGAGAGCATACAGGTTTTTTTTTTTTTTTTTTCTTTCTGTAATTGATTTATTTCATCCAACATAGTTTCCTCCAGGTTCATCCCATTGTAAGATGTTTTGGGAACTCTATTGCTGAGTAGTATTCCATTGCATGTACCACATTTTACTCATCCATTCATCTGTTGGCGAGCACTTGGGTTGTTTCCATCTTTATGCTACTGTGAATGGTGCTGCAATGAACATAGGTGTGCATGTGTCTGTTCGTGTTGCTTCTCTTAAATCCCTAGGCTGTATATCTGGGTCACATGGCATCTCTACCTCTAGTTTTTTGAGGAACTTTCCAGACCTTTCTACAATGCTGGTGCCATTTTGCGTTCCCATCCACAGAGATGAGGGCTCCAGTTTTGCAGCATCCCTCCCAACACCTGTTATTTTCTAGAGTGAGATGGTGTCTCTTTGTGGTTCTGATCTGCATTTCTCTGATGGCAAGTGATGTTGAGCATCTTTCCATGTATCTGTAGGCCATTTGAGTATCCATCAGGCAAAGTGTTTGTTCATTGTCCTTTGCCCAGTTTTTGATTGTGTTATTTGTTTTTTGTTGTTGCAGACATTTTCTATATACAATATTTTACATATCAGACCCTTACTGGTTATATCATTTCCACAGTTTTTTCCCCAATCTGTAGGTTTTATCTCTCCTTTGATAAAGTCTTTTGATGAACACAAATCATTTAACTTCTTTGAGGTCCCAGTTGTCAATTCTGTTTTCTGTTGATTGTGCATATGTTGTTGTGTTTAATAATCTACCATTAAAAAAAAACTAGGTCCCATACTGTTTTCTTGTTGATTTGTTCCCATATTTTCTTCCAAGAACATTATGGTTTTAAATTTAACATTTAGGTCCTTGACCCATCTTGAATTAGTTTTTGTGTATGGCATGAGTTACGGATTTTGTTTCATTTTTCTGTGTGTGGAAATCCAGTTTTGCTAGCAGTATCTGTTTAAGAGACTGTTCCTCCCCCATTGAATGGATTTGGCTCCCTTGACCATAGACATTTGGATTTACTTCTGGATTTTCAGTTCTGTTTTGTTGGTCTATGTGTCTGTCTTAAACCGGTACCAGGCTGTTTTGATTACTGCAACTAAAGTCAGTAAGTGTGAGCCATCATTGTTTTGTTCTTCTTCAAAATTGACTTGGCTGTTTGAGTTCTCCTGTCTTTCTATGTAGAACTGAGGATTAGTTTTTCCATTCCTGTGAAGAATGCTTTTGGAGTTTTGATCAGGATTGTATCTTATCTACAGATTGCTTTGAGTCATATTGACATCTTGACTATATTAAGTCTTCCAATCCATGAGCACAGAACGTCTTTCTGTCTAAATCTCTGGGATTTTGATTGTGGCCTAGAAAGAGAGGCAGAAGAAGAAACATGAGCAAATATTTGGAGGAGAGAAATAGCAGCAAATAAATAAATGGTCCTTTGAGATTGAGCATGATCTAGTATGTGGGAATACTAGAACCAACCGGCCAACCATACCTGCTGCCATTGAGTCACTTCTGACTCATAGTGACCCTGTAGGACAAAGTAGAACTCCCCAATAGGGCTTCCAAGGCTGTAATCTTTACAGAACCACCTTGCCACATCTTTCTTCCTTGGAGCAGTGGTGGGTTTGAACCACCAACCTTTTGGTTTGCAGTCAAGCACTTAACCACTGCTACCAAGGCTTCTTTGTGTGGGAGCATTGGAAGCTAAAACCAGAAGGCTAGGTTCACTATGCCCTGGGATAAGGGCCTTGATATTTGAGCAGTTTGCTTGTGCTTGAATAGAGCAGATTCCATTTTATTCCCACAGTC